AAAAGGTAACACAGCACACAGTGTGAGGCGATAGGGTATTGGTGCTTTTGCAGGGAAGTGACAGCCCCAGAAAAAAGAAACCATTAGCTCAACTGGAAAAAAAAAAAACCTGTGCATTGCAAAAACAGGCCCTTACAAGAAATAATTTAGTAATACATGCACAGCTAAATCTATTAAATTGTTTCTGCCGTCTGAATAATGCACTGGCATCTCCAAGAACAAAATATCTAACGCAATAGTATCTTGAATGCCTGTGAGTAGTCAGGGTTTTCCAGGAACTGGAAAAGTAACAATAATAGATCTAGGTTTCCTGTAATCATGGGTAGCTGAAACCTAAAATATGGTATCAAGAACTCAGTTGTCCTTAGAGAATAAGGTTGCATTTAATACTGTATATAAATGCATTTTGCTTGATAGTGGGAGCCAAATGTCTTGTGAGCGAATGAGATGAAAATGAATCCTGTAGCACTGGATTTAATTAAGAGTCATCATTGTGAATTCACTTTTAGCTGAAAACACACAGATGGGGAAATCACAGTTGGAAAGCATACTTTGCACCCAGACAACTGTGTATATACCTCCTTCTAAGCTTTGATCATATTTTTGCAACTTTTTTTTTGTCGGTCGTGGGGGTTGAACTCTGGGCCTGGGCAGTGTCCCTGAGCTCTTTAGCTCAAGGTTGGTGCTCTGCCACTTGAGCCACAATGCCACTTCTGGTTTTCTGGTGGTTAATTGGAAGTAAGAGTCTCATGGACTTTCTTACCCAGGCTGGTTTTAAATGGGGATCCTCAGATCTCAGTCTCCTGAGTAACTAGGATTACAGGCATAAGCCACCAGTGCCCAGCACAACTCTTTATTAATATGAATTGCTTCCTCTGTGTCACAACTGTTCTAAACATTTACATATATTCTGTTAGAAAAGTTGGGCAACATATCTATGATAATAGCCATGGAATGGTGAGGTCTCTTATCCAGGCTAGATAAGACACTGAGCACACCCATGTAGACCTTTCCAAGTGCCGTGTGTTTTCCTACTCTTCTATTTGGCTTCTAGACCCCTGGCTGTCCATAAACTAATCAGCACAGAAAAACAGCAGAACCTCTCACACCAGACAACCCAATTTCTACTCCTTGGCTTCATTTCCTAATAACACAATCTTGAGTGTGAATTTTAACTTGTAAATGAGTTTTCTAATTAATGGCATGGTATCAAAAGCGTTCTATAAATCAAATAGGATATGTAAGGCCTGAGCACAAAACCTGGCCCCTTCCTGAGCACTCATAAACTAAGCATGAATAATCTTCTAATAGCAGAGATTTTGTTGTACCAATCTGTTGGAAGTATTTGGAGTCAGTACACATGGTAGATGCTCAAAATATAACTATTATATATATGTGTGTATGAGAGAGAGACTCAGAGTACATGGGGATGTTAATGAAAAATGAAAATTAAAAAAGAGACTAGTATGCTAAAAGTATATGTAGTTCTGTTATCTGTTGTCATATTGTTCTAGATGTGATCACTGGATAAAAAATAAAACATATGCCAGGCACAGGTGGCTCACACCTGTAATCCTAGCTCTTTGGAGGCTGAGATCTGAGGATCCCAGTTCAAAGCCAGCCTGGGCAGGAAAGTCCATGAAACTCTTATCTCCAATAAATTACCCTCATCCCACCCAAAAAAGCTGAAAGTGGAGCTGTGGCTCCAGTGGTTGAGCAGTAGCCTTGAGCAAAAGAAGCTTGGGATAGCACCCAGGCCCTGAGTTCAAGCCCTAGGTCCTGCAAAAAATAAAAAATATAATAAAACTTGTACTACAGCTATACCAGTGATAATGTTATAATGCACAAAAGCCCCAACCTTTCAATTTTGAGAAGAAGGAAAGTTAAGAATTACATCTAGGCAGCAGCCCGGACCTCACTAGCTACTTGAGTAGATGAGTTTAACAGTTTAGTGGGTTTTCAAATTTTAATTTAATTTGAATTCAACTTAAATTTTATGTGGCCCATTTTTATTACCTTCTCATAATAGAAACAGAATGTTATTATTTGCAGCCCTGGTTTTCACCCAGACAGAAACATAAAAAGGAAAACATTTTCAATCCCACTTGACATGCAAGACTGAAACCTCCTGAGCTAAAATGACAAGCATATGATTTGTGAAATCCAATTACTCACAATTAGGTTGTTTTTGTCATCACAATCTGTGGTGAAATGTAACAGGAAAGTGGATAGATAAATAACAAAAGATGTGATTTTTTTTTAAAAAGCAACATTCACAACTTAAGAATTGAAAAGCAGCCGGAGATTTGTAACAAGAATTCTGAAGCGTCATCTACAAACTATAGTTAATTAGAATTACATAATCAGAGGAGACATGTGACAAACCCTGCTATGAACTTTGCGTCGCAGTAATCACTTCCACAGATGGCTTCAAATCTTTGGAGTAAATAAGTGGAAGTGGTACTCTTGTGTCATTCCTACAGTTCCTACAGTTGTGGAATTTCCCGAGAGTTTTTCCATAATAGCTATACTAATTCAGATTCCCATCGCCAGTGTACAGGGCTCCCTTCGCTCTATATTCTTGTCAATCCAAAATCACCAGGAGATGTCTAGCACACAGACACACATAGCTAGCTCTCTGTCTGTCTGTCTCTCTCTCTTTGTCTCTCTGTCTCTGTCTGTCTGTCTGTCTGTCTCTCTCTCTCTCTCTCACACACACACAAATGGTACCAGAGGTGATGGATATTTTAATCATCTAGATTTAATCATTCCATATAGCATTCATAAATCAGGACATCCCTTTTCACCCCATAATTACATGTGCCTAGAATTCGTCAGTTTACAACTTAAATTTTTACTTAAACACCACAACTTTTTTCAAAAAGGCAGCTTGAAAGAAGCAATGGTAATACATATTCCGAAAACGTCTTTACCAGGTAGGATTTTTACAAGAATTTCACACTACTCCATTCTTCTCCCCTCCCCAAACATTAGAAACGTGGACAGTTGCTTCGTTCTTCTTAAAAGTTAACCTTATATTCCCTCACCATGAGGGGAAATCTACACGTTTTAAAACCTCCCATTGGTGAATAGGAAACTTTAAAATATTTGAGGATTCCTGTCCCAGACTACTATGGGTACTTCAGTCCGTTCCTAAAGGGGTGGAGGACCAGCCTCTATCCATGACCTGCAGGTGAACTGATGCTCTTAAAGGTGCCTCTGGGGAGAACACATTAGCTCCAGAACTTTCTAGGCTAATTCCTATCCACTTGCTTCTGCACAGTCCAAACATCTTACTAACATCACCAATAAAGTGCATGCACCCTCCGGGGGATGGGGGGACAAGGTGCATGACAGCGTCCCAGCCAGAAGTCACAGGTGTGCAAAACACTCCCATTTCCTCATGCAAGGACTACCCTTGTCCTCCATTTGCCCTTGAACTTTGACCCTCCTGCTCCAGTAGTGGCCCATGCCCAGAGGAAGGGGTGCAGGGTGCCTGGGAAGCAAGAAGCGATCCATCCTCACTCTTCTTCCCTTAACCAAGTTCTTGTCCCTACCTGCCTTCTGCCTCCCGCTTTTCTCTCCCCGTCTTTCCCCCTCCTCTTCATCACCCTTAACTTTGTGTGCTGTTGACCCCAACCTTCTCCTCTTTGCCCTGTGTCCTAGGATATTTAAACTTCTCTGGCGCTTTCCCCCGGCTTCGTCTCCTCTGATTCTTTCCCCGGGGTCCCTGGGCGGTTCGACCTTGCCGGAGCTGCCCTTTGCCCCGGGCTGTCCCGCTCGCTGGCTGGGTGCCTGCCCCGGATCCGTTCCGGGCGCCGGCGCTCCGCGTTCCCGGGCTGCGGGGCGGCCGAGGAGGCTCTGCGGCAGCGCGGAGCC